TWCACGGAAATATCAATAATTCATGTAGTAATCTAGGTAAATAAAGTCGAGTAATATCACCGTCCTTTGCATTGTTACGTGACCAATCCACTTCAATTATCAGCATCAGACCCCTCTCAATCAACTAAAGGACGTCCAACTAAAGTACTTTGATGACAACCACTGGTCTTGTTTGAAGGTTTTGAAGCGCTCCGCACAGATGACGTCACACACCTTGCACCCCGTCGAGAACTCAGACAAACTTAACAATGCTGCATACTAATCCTTGGTAAATTCGCCATCTTTAGTCATCGATAATGGGTAGTTAAACGCAACGAATTTCTATTCTGACTTAAGATTATAACGTGTAGGGCTCTTAACTTTGATAAACTTGTAAAGAATTCCAAATTCGAGTGAATAAAACGATGTTTCACGGCCCCTATTAATCTCACCCTAATCTCGAATATTTAGGGCTTCGAATCTTAAATATTAAAATCTAAAATTGAAGCTATATCGTCAGAAAAATAGCATTTTAAGGACTTTTTGAGCAATAGGCATCTCATTTAGGAATCTAAATCAAACAAAGTCAAGCAAATAGAGCATTCAAAGAAGCGGAAAATTATATTCCATAAAGTAATAAAATGTGAGCAAAAGTAAAGCGAAAGCGGGCCGTTAAACTGGCCCAAAACTTGTGATTAAATAGTCTCAAACTAATAGGAAACCATTATGTATATACGCATTAGCTTGAGTTGATATTTCTTTAGAATTTATTTTTTATTCGCTTGTATAATTTTACGTTCAATCAAAGCAACCGGTGTATATCCCTTGTCGAGTACAATAACTCGGTTTGTTACATAGTAAATAAATRGCTAGAATGACKCAAAACTCAATGATTAAACTCTTTATACAATAAAAGGAATATTATTTTGCTATTGTGGCTCTCTTTACTTCAAATAATTGCAATGATAATACTATTCGATTGAGTTTTCAAGTCTGACTAGCCTGCGTAGCGGCCCTAAGGGGATTGGGGAGGGCCGGCCGAGCGGGGAGTGGGGAGGAAATTTCCTCCCCACTC